ATATGAAGCAGTATTGTGCAGAGGCCAAGGAAATATAGTTAAAATATTCAAACATGTAGCATAACCTAAAAGCCAGCAACGGTTATAAACATTAGAAACCCCTTCAAGAATTCAGAAGCTGATAACCTGCTTAAAACTCTTGAAGCCTTCCAAAAAAAAGAAAACTTTCAAACACTCAACTGTCAAAACAATACAAAAGGTCTCAAAAGCCAGAACCTGCTATCTCATAAACCAAAACCTTATGGCCTAAACCATAAAAAAAAAAACTTCTAAACTGTCCAACCAAGGCCATAACCTGCATAGCGCCAATACCCTGTCCAAGAACCTACAGTCTCAAACCATGAAACCATAAAAACCTGCTATCTGCATAAACCATCAAACCTTTTGGCCTAAACCTGCTATCTGCATAAACCAAAAGCATGGCCTAAAACCATAAACCAGTAAAACCAAAAGCATGGCCTAAAAGGTCAGAAAATCACAAAACTGTCCGACCAACGTCCAAATACCATCCAGCCTCAGAATTACATCATCACGGGCTATTACAAATTCAAGCAACAGTAGCAAGGCAAGAAGGAGAGGAGGGCAAGCTAATCAAAACAATAGCATTTCAACAATAACACCCAAGGCAACATAACGTTCAAGGCAACAAGCAAGAAGAAGAAGAAAAAAGCATACATCGAGGCAACAAAAAGGAGATAAAGAGTACAGAGTACCAGGGTCTCCAAGCTCACAGCCTCACTGCGTTTCCCCCTCCGCCAACGAGCCTCCGTAACGCCCTTCCTTCCTCCATTAAAGGTAGTCTCGTTTTCCCCTTTCCTTTTTACAATCTCAACAGAAATCACATAATAAAAATGAAGTCAGAATCGAAATGAAAAAAATCATAACATGCAAGAAATCATAAAAGTTTAATGCGTTAAGAAGTGAGAGCATTACCTCTTCACTGTATCGCGGAGCAACACACGGAGAAGCTTGGACGTTGGTGGCTCGGGCAAAGGGAGGTCAGAAGCTTGGACATGCTGGTGGCCATGGGCTGAGAAAGACTCAGAAGCGAGCACAAGAAGAAGAGGACGAATCCACAACGAAGAAGACGAATCCGAACGAGGAGATGAGCGCCGTTCTGCACTTCTGTTTACCCTAATCCCTTTTACAAACTAAACAAAGTGTTAACCCTAAGAAAACAAAATTATGAAACATATTGGACTAAACCTCATCTGCCTAAGCCCAACGATTTGCTTATCCACCCCCCTATCTTGCTTCTGATATTCTTGATTTTTGGGCCTCTTAAAACCTCTTTGGCCCATGCTTTTGTTTATCATTTCCCCTTTTTAATTCTTGATACTTTTTTTATTTGATTTCCTTAGCCCTTTTCTTAATTATTATTAGTTAGTTAGTTAATAATAGATGTAATTTAATTAAAACCAATTTTAATAATTGACCAATTTTATTAGTCTAACTTTAGGTTTAATCTAGTAATTTTAGTATTTTTTTATTAGGCTTAGTTAAATAACTTTTAATTTTTAATTTGGTTTAGAGTTATTCAATAATTCTTAAATAACACCTTATATTAATATTGAAGAAACAAAAAATAGAATTTAAGAACTAAAAACATTTTTATTTTTTAGTTAATTCTCTTGCTTTATCCATATTAAAAAATACATATAATAAAAAACTTAAAAAACATTTTATTTAATTAATTCTCTTGCGTTATTAATATTAGATAAAAATATAAAAAATGCATGTTCACACCATTTAGTCTTTTATTTAATTGCTGTATATCATTATCTGCATAATTTTCTGTCAACTATTTCGTCTTTACTTGTTTATTCCGTTTACGCCTAAATCCAAGGGAAAAAACGATTAAATTTGTTGACTTCATGTCCTCAAGTCCGATCACGCGAATATTTTTTGCATTTCATTAAAACTTAAGACAATTTTTTCTCAAATATCCAATCTTTTCAAAACTTATACCCTTTTAAGCAAAAACTTCAACATTAGGTCGTCGTATCTTCAAAAAACCGTCCGTACCCTTTTTCGACCAAAACAATTTATTTTTAATCAAACGAACATTTTAATAAACAGATATTTCAAAAGGTTCCTATAGAGTACTATAGATACATTGGGTGCTAATACCTTCCCATTGTATAACCAACCCCCGAACCATCGATCTCTTTTCAAAAACGCCTTGTATTTTTTACTTTTTAAAAGTATTATTTTACATTGCATATTTAGGGTTTTATTTCTCTCTTTTCCCTTTTCCCTTGGAAATAATAAAGCGCGGTGGCGACTCTTGCTTTTGTGAGACGAATTAATCAATAATTCGATCTCCGATTTACCCCGCTACATTTTTTATCGCTACACCTGGTTTGAACCACCCAACAGGAAGAGGACGCGTGGTCGTCTTCTTCGTTGAAATATCCAGGGTTTTTACCTGCGGATTTTATCCGCAACTAAACTCCTAGGTTCGTCCTAGAATTCACCCTAGGCCATGGAAATGACATCTAATAGCATCAACATGCTCGTCCTCTCCCACTGAGTCCATTCATGCCCTTGATTTACTCTAAATTTACCTGCAATGCAAACGCCTAAAAAACAAGCAAAGAAACCCTAGATTCGGGCATTACAACACAGGCCATGAAAACAAAATTAAGTATTGCAAAAATGTTCTAAATGAAGCGACAAACACAAATATGCAAAGATTTTAGTGAGAGGATGCAAGAATCCAAGGTTTGGATTTCATGTTCAGAGCCATAATCGTGACAACTTACAGTGCGTTTCAGGGGGTCTTAAGGGCCGGTTCTGGTTGCTATGGCTTCAGGAGATTGCAAGCAAGAACACCACGTTGATATTTTTGATTGAAGCAAGCTCTAACCCAGAATTCGATCTCTCTCTTTTTCCAAGCTTTTTCAGTTTTGGTTTCTTGATTTTAGGCAGCTTCAGGTCGTGAATTAGGTTTAGGAGGCTTTCTTTCATATATGGGAAGTGAATTAGGTCAAGAGCTGGGCCTTAATCCATGTATATTCAAGAATTAGGTTTGCACTTTTTCACCATTGACAAACTTTCCAAATATGGCCAAATCTGAGATTTTGTGCACAAATAATCCCTAGCACGAATTGGTTGGTTGGCACATGATGTTTAGAAGCTGTACAAATCACAAAGATCCTTTTTCAATAATTTTTGGATTTTATTTGATTTAATATTGATTAATAATGAATTAAATCAATAAAAATGGAATAAAATAGAAAAATAAATATTTGGTTATGAAATTAAGCATGGGACACGTGTGTGGCATGAAAAGACTGAATCAAGTGGGAAAAAGTGGGCCCTTTTGTCAAAAATTGGAGTTTTGAGGATAGTTGACTTTTGGCAATTTTGGAAAAATGTCCAACTTCAACAATGCATAACTTCTTCAATTTTGAACTTTTGGAGGTGTTCTTGGATTTTTTAGAAACCTTGAGATGTCCTCTAATCAGCCCTTTTGGTATAATCTCATTTTGATCTTCCATTCTCAAGTTATAAGCTTTGGCAAAAAAGGTGTTTTTGTTGACCTTCAAAAATGACCTATAATGTCCAAATTTATAACTTCTTGTGAGTGCATTTTCTGATATTGGGGTGTGAAGATGGATTGTAGGAAATTGCATCCTCTTCAAAATGAGCTTTGGATGAGTCATTTCTCATAAAGTATGAGAAAGTTATGCTTGGTCAAAGTTGAGTTGACTTTTTCTACAAAACCCTAATTTAGCAACTTTTGAATCTTGATGAATTTTGAGCAATCCTTGATGAATCATGATCAACCCTTGATCAAATGATGAATTATCCTTCAAAATGAGAATGTTGACAAAAAAACTCTGACTTTTGACTGTAAAATGACCATTTTGCCCTTACAGTTGACTATGGATCAAATGGAACTTTTGACTGTGTAAATTGGCACTGTGAGTCTTGAAACTTGGCATGTAGGTGCTTGAGAATGTATATAGGCCTATGAGACTTGATTGAACCATTGAAAACCCCAAATTCCTTGAAAGAACCAAAACCCTAATTTTGAATTGACTGCCTAAGGAGGTGATTTGACTGTACCACCCTTGAGCCATTTTGAGCAATTGACATATCTTGAGGAATATGAGAGGACAAATTTTAGGGTACAACAGAGACTCTCTCCCTTTTATTTTCAAATCTTTTTAACTTTAATTTTTTTTTCAACCAAGGGATGAATATCTGATGCTAACGAAAATTTTGACACACAAACACTTGTTTCTTCACAAATCACTCACAACTTTTATGTTAACCGTTCACGATTCCTAACACGCTAACCTTGTACTTTATAGTTTCTATCTATTTTTCTATCATACGCCTTGAATAATTAAAAAAACTACACCTCACATATAAATGTTGTTTAATATTAAATATCTGAATTTTGTTGTGTAGGAACTTTTTAATATAGTTTCATCCCTAAAAATGTTTGAATATTTGTAATATTAAATTCTTTATTTCTATTTTCAAGTCTCTTGTTCATAAGTTTTTATTCAGTTTGCTTGAATGGTTTTTCTCAGAAACTTTTGTTTCTTTTAAAAAGGATAGCTTTCTTATGACATTTCTTTTCTCTTTTAAGTTTCAGACAATTATTTAAGTTGTTACTAACAATATTTGGATACTTTTCCCCATATCACGCACAAGATTTCACAAATTCATTAATACAACATAAACCTGCAAAATTCACAAAAGAACACAACATTCACAAACATGTTGGTCACTGAAACTTGATGCAATTCACAATAACAGAAAAAATAACATCAACAACAAGGCATTGTAATTTTTTTTTACAGGAAAACAAGCATAAGAGAAGAGAGTTCGTCACGAAACCATCTCTGATCTGCATCTGTCACTTCTCCGCCCAACTCACTCAACCGCCGACGAATAACACCATCGCCCATCGCTGCGCATCACCTCCAGCGACGAAACTACAAACGACCCTTCAATCGCACTCGACATTGCAGCATCAACCGATGCACTCTGCGTCACGCACAAGCCGCCCAAAACCGCCGATCAAAACCCACCATTTATGTCCGAGCCGAATATGTGATGTCCTTTCACGGACCACCACTCTCACCTCTGCAACCACCGACGAACAGCTACAACCATTAACACTAGAAACTGCTTCGCGTCATCGTCCTCCATTATTCCGCCGCACCTGCTTCCAGCGTCAGCCCACCATCGCTCATCTTCCTCCTTGCAACTGTTCCCCTTCTGCCGTGAGTCTTTGTTCAAGTTTTTTGTTCCTGGATTCTTATTATGATATATTGTTTTGATTTTTGAAAAGATAGAAAGATTGAAGCTTGAGGGAAAGGATTGGTGAGACGATAAAATTGTGTTTGTCTGTGATTCTCTCTGTTCCTTCATTTTAACATTGATTTGTTTTATTGTGTTTTTTTTAATTAAATAAATATGCCACGTGTTGCGATGTTACTTGTTAATGGAAATGGTGGAAAAGTCAAGATGTGGTTTTGGTTTCTTCTACTTCCTGATTATTGAGATAAAGGTACACTGTTAGTTTTCTTTTTTTATTTAATTTTGGACTCTTTGGACCCATATCTCTCTTTACACCCCTATAGTTATTAAGGTTATCCTAGTTTAATTGATTTAAAACTATGTTAGTTTTTTTGAAAAAACACAATAGAAATATAAAAAATATTTTATTTTATCTGACTATTTTTATTAGTTTAGTAAGGATAACTAATTCTAATTAATTTAATTATTCTTAGTTTATTTAATTAGTTTTGATAAACTAGTTAGTTTCATATAATATATAAAAAAGAACAAAAACAAATCAAGTTGTATATATATTTACTAAAATTCTCTGATTAATCCAAGCATATTATCACTCTTGCAAATAATTAATTACTTTGTACAAAAATAAAATCATTTTTTTATAAATAAATTAATCCAAACATTCTATAAATAATAGGATGTCCATCTTCGAGTAATTAAATCGGTTGACACATCATCTATCATTTTATTATTCAAAATCAATCAATTAAAATCTACACAACTCACTAAATTCACCATCTGCGAGCAACACGTGGTCAATATCTGGCCACGTGATAAGGGAGACTTCATCAGACTCCCTCCGCATACTTTATGACGAGAAACATGTGGCCAACATCTGACCACATGAGGAGAAAGACTTTATCAGGTTTCCTCCGCTCATGACCTACCATACTCTTTAATCAAATCAACTTCAAAACAGCTAACCAACAACAATTCAGATATTTTTCTACTAACTTAACAAAAAACCAAGATGTTTTTGAAAAATAATTAAAGAGAATTTCTTTCAAAATTAACTACGAACTGTGTCTATAATCACTCAACTTACAACTCAGACAAGGTTCAAGGATAAATTTGAAAGAAATTCTACACAATCCTATAAAAACTCCAACCAACCGCGAACTACGAATTGGGAATATGATTCCTCATAAGAGGATACGTAGGCATACGACTAAAATCGTGGCGAGTTCCCCTATTAAAAAATTAAAACCCTGCTTCTAGATCGTGCTTCTAACCCTAGTTTCCTTGTGAACAAGATAGATGAGGGGTGCCTAACACCTTCCCTTCGTCTAGAACGAGTCAGGAAACTTAGAATCTCTGTACGTGTTAGGGTTATCCTTTATATTCCATTCTGTTGTACCCCAAAATTTGCCCTCCCATATTCTTCAAGATTTGCAAAGAGCATGCTTCAAAATCTCCCCAAGGGTTGCACAGTTCAAGGGCCTCATAACAGTCAAAAACTAGGGTTTTGGGTCTGACAAAGAAAATAAAGTTTCCAAGGGTCCAATCAAGTCCCACATGCCTATAAACATGGTCAAGCATCCTCATGCCAAGTTTCAAGACTTACAGCACAAAATTGCACAGTCAAAAACCCTAATTGCCCTACAGTCAACTGTAGGGGTAAAATGGTCATTTGACAGTCAAAAGTTCAAATTTTTGGTCAACATCTTATTTTGAAGCCACAAACATCATTTGATCAATTCTTCATCATGATTTTCAAGGCATGGCTCAAAAAGTCTCAAGATGCAAAAGTTTCCATATTTGAACAGTTGAAAAAGTCAACTGTAATTTGACCAAGGCATAACTTCCACATGGTTCATCAGAAAAATTACATCCAAAGCTCATTTTGAAGATAAAGACATTTCCTACAACTCCTCTTCACACTTCAAGTCCAAGAAATGCTCTCACAAAAAGTTATCAATTTCAACATTATAGGTCATTTTCAAAAGTCAACAAAAAGGCACTTTAAGTCAAAGACCATTACTTGAGATTGGTAAATCAAAATGACATGGGACCAAAGTCATTGGTTAGAGGACTTCAAGACCTTTCCAAAATGTCCAAGAACATGATCAAAACTTAAAAATTGAGCATGATATGCCTTGTGGAAGTTGGGAAATTTTTGGGAATTTTGAAAAGTCAACTTTGCTTCAAATGCCTCCAAATTGCTAATGGGCCACATTTTCTTCCAAGATTCACCATCCAAAGGCTATGCACGACCATTTGGCCCAAAGGGGATTTATTTCATCATTTTTATTATTTTATTTGAATTTTTAATCACCATTAATTCATTTAATAAAATAAAATATGAAAAAATACTAAAACAAATGTATGTGAATCTTTTTATGCAGCATTTGCTCCCATTGGCTATTGAAGATTCGTGCACATCAAAAAAGGGAAGATTTGGTGCAAATTGGCATGATATTCATGGAAAAGATTTGGAAAAATATGCATGAAAAATCAAATATCTCATACATCAATGCATTGATCTTTTTGCTCAAGATTCAACCCTAATCCATTCCCATACATATACTGATCAAAACCTAATGCACAGGAACCTTGAAGCTGCGCCCCAGAACAAAAGCCAAGTTTGCATTTTTATCAAAAAATCTGAAAACTGAAAACACCATTCCAAAGCGTTTCAAGGCAAGAGAACGATCCCAAAAGCTTCCTAAGACATCACTGAACCTGACTGAATCCTCTTCCACGCCCATAGCATCAAGAATTGGTAGATAGAAGTTGAAATTTCTCATACTTTATGCATAATCGTATTTCAATTTCTGGGCATTTTTCATACAATTTAATTGTTGTTTTACACTAATCTAATCATGCTGAAACTAACCATGCAATTTAATTGAGTTTTCGTGCTATGTACGTGAAGATACATTGAAGCTCGCTAGGGTTTCAGAGTTGCAAAATTAGGGGTTTCCTCTTCAGGAAAAATCAGACCACGAGACCCATGCCATTAGAATCAGAAGCTTATGATTAATTGATTCCATACCTCGCGATAAATTTATGACTAACAGAATTCTATTCGCTATTTTTGTGTGCATCATTTAGTGGGGGTTTAAAACCCCCGCTATCCAGTTTGTTTTTTTTCAGGCAAAATATAGAATAGAGGAAGAAGACGCTTATGTGTCATGACGTGATAGGGCTGTTCAAACTTCAGCGCGCTTTTTTTTATTGTTGGCATTAGCGTTTTGTTTTTTTTATAACAATTGTATTCCAATAATATTACAAAGAAAGCACTTGGCACAGTTGGTTGGTGCATTGTCCAATAGGTACTGGGACCTGGGTTCGATTCCCAGGTCCCCTCACTCTCTTAATATATTTTGTTTCAATGTGATTCCATGCAGTTTCAACCCCCAGGCCTACCATGCAGCCTTATATCCAAGCGCGCCACATGGCTCAGAATCTCAATCCAAGGGCCCTGATCTGATGAACACCATGTGCATAGGTCAAACATTCCACACGCCATCCCGGAAAGTCAAGAAGGGCCTCTATCTAATGGGCCAAACCATTCTAACAACACCTCCAAACTGGGGTCAACACCCCCAAGGGTTTGCATTTCTTTTCTTTTTTCCTATTTTATTTTTATTTGTTTAATTTGATTATTTCCTTTTAATTCATAAATTAATGTTTTCATAATATAAAAATAATAAAAATCAGAAAAGACAAAAAATAAAATAAGAATATATTTTATTTAATGTTATTTTGTAAAAAATCTTATTAATTAATTTAGTTTTAATACTAGGTTTAATTTCAATGTTTTTTTTTTTAAATTAAAAAATGTAGAATTAGGGTTTTATACTTTTATTCCCTTTTTTTTTTCCTTTTTCACCCTATTTAATTATTAAAAATTATTTTTGTAAATAAGTTGCCATGTAAATAATTAGGTTAATTTTAGGTTCAATTTTAACATTTTTTCTTAATAAATTAAAAATAGTTAGAATTAGGTTTTAATTCCATTAATTCTCACTAAAGTCCATAAATACAAAAAAAAACTCAAAAAAAACTTCCTTTCACATTTAATTTAATTAATTTCATAATTTTAATTCACTTTCTTTAAAAGGGTCCAACGCCCTCGCATTCCCGATTTTACTTATTCTCGCATGTTATTTTTATTTCTTTTTGTGAATATTCATGTAATTCTCCCAAAGCCATGTAATAGCTTAATTAGACATTTATCTTTTCCGCATTTTTATTTTTACTTCAAATCGGGTCTTGGATTAATTTGGCGATGTGGACCCGCGCCTTTGTAATAGCGTAGGACTTTTAATTCCGCATCTTTTAAACTGTTAATTAAACTGCATGAAAGAATGAATGTCAAAATAAAAACAACGCGTAGATCACCAATCCATGAACAAGACAAAAATATCTGAAAACGACACACAAATCACACACCACCCCTAGGGTACGCCTCACTGTTGCCTTGCCCCTCGAAAGGTGATCGTCGAGTAGAGGATGTTTTAGTAAGTCCTCATGTCCATGAACATGGCATGAGGGTAGCTTCTAAGGTGTCTTCCTATTGCTCCGGTGATCACCATGTCCCAAACCTTCGAATTGACCCGAACACCTCCAACGGTGGTGCTACCTACCTCTCAATGGTGGGATGGCACTACTTTAAGGACATTTACACAGACGAATTCCTTAGGGTAGGTAGACGACTCTAGATACTTGCTCTAATCTCAAAACAAATAAAAAAAAATACTTTTCACACCGACACCTTTTCAAAAAGCTTTCGAAAGCAACTTTTCAAACACTCTTGAGGACTGATACAAGAGTCGAACTGAAATTTTCAAAGAAACTTTTTTAAAACCCACAGTTGAAAAACAAACAAACCATTTTGAAAACACAAATGAGCAAGTATCTAAGAGCCCATGGATAACCATGGATAGAAAGGGTGCTAACACCTTCCCTTTCTATAATCTACCTCCCGAACCGAGAGCAATCTCTATAAGGAATTTTTCTGTGCTTTTGTCCTTTC